TTATCCTATTAAACTTTTCCATTAACATCCAAACATATAATATTTTTTTTTCAGAAAAGAAAAAAAAAATGTCTTGACTCTATATCCCCTTCCAAGGATATTGCTTCTGGTATTCTCTTTCTCCTCAATCAACCATTTTATCCTATTAAACTTTTCCATTAACATCCAAACATGTAATATTTTTTTTTCAGAAAAGAAAAAAAAAATGTCTTGACTCTATATCCCCTTCCAACTACTGTCATTCTTGCTCCCCTTTACAGTAAAACTTCAGGAAAGAGTCATAGAACACTTACTGTCTCCAGTGCCTCATCTCCCAATCAATCTTCGGCTGAACCTACCCCAATCAAGCTTCTGACTCCATCAATCCAGTACAACTACTTTGAATAGTTACAATGGCCTGCATCGTTAAATCCACCAGTCAATTCTCAGGTCTTTTTGTATTTGATCTATCAATAACGTTTGACATAGATGACCACTCTCCTCCTTTTTTGTTTGCCTTCAAAGCAAGAAACAACACAGCAAAAAACAAGCAAAAAACCACCCAAAATCCCCATCTTTTTTTGCGTGGCTTCAAAGATACCATATACTTACAATTTTCTTCCTACTTTTTTAACCATTCCTTCTCAGTCTGCTCAGATTCTTCTTCACCTATAAACCTTGGAGTGCCCCAGGGCCCATTCCTTGGAACCTTTCTCTGTCAACTCATTCCCTTGGTGATCTCATTCAGTTCTCATGTCTTTAAATATTGTCAATATACTGACTTCTTTCTGCCAAATCTTTACCAGGAGGCTATCACCTAAACCTGACATGGCCACTTACATGTAAAAAAATCTCAAATTCAACATGTCAAAAACCAAAGTCCTAATCTTCATTTCAAAAGCTGCTCCTCCCACAGCAACTACTCCTACCCACCCCACCCAGTAAATGGCAATTCTATCCTTCCTTCCAGCTGCGCAGGCCAAAAACATGGGGTTATTCTCGACTCCTCTTTCACTCATACTTGACATTCAGAAACTCCTGCTGGTTCCACCTTCAAAACATATATACAGTCCAAAAACTTCTCGCCAACACTATCACCTTGATCCAAGTCACCTTCTCCTCTCACCAGGATTATTGCAATAAGCGCATAACTGCTCTCTCTCATTTCCGTGCATGGCCCCTCAATAGCCTATTTTTCAGTGTTCAGAATGATCATTTCAAAACTTATGTCATTTCTCATTCATATTAAAAGCCAAAGTATTTGGAACTGCACAGCAGGTTCGTGTTCTCTCTCTCTCTCTCTCTCTCTCTCTC